ACTGAGCCACCCAGGCACCCTTTAAAATTTTTTTAATGTTTATTTATTTTTGAGAGAGAGAGACAGACTGTGAGCAGGGGAGGGGCAGAGAGACTCAACAGATATTTTTAAAAGAGCAGCATAGGTCAAGATTTTTTGGACCTTTTTTCCAAAAACAGAGGTATACTTTAGACACAGTGAAAGGCACAACACTTACTGCAATGAGCTTTGACAAATATATTTCCCTGTGTAACCAACTCCCCAATCAAGATATAGAATATTTCCACACCAGGAAACTCCCTTGTATCTCTTTCCAGTTAATTTCCATACCTCCCTTTTCAACAATGCAGCTGCCACTGGTCTGGTTTTTATCATAGATTAGTTTTGCCTATTCTCAAATTTCAAATATGTGAGATCATACAGTATATACATGTCTGAAGAGACCTAGCTAAACCTTTATGGTAAAAAATCAACAACACCTCAGATGTAAGAAGTGAAACTTAATAAATTTCAAGTGTATATAATAACATAGATATATATAATTTATACAGAACCTGGGAACAGGATTCATGACTGGAGTACAGATGCAATAAAATACTACCAATCCCCAAATATTTCACCTGCCCAACAGCATCCTGGTAAGAGTTCTTTCATTTAAACCATTTTCTTCAATTTCTCTCTTGTTCTCAAGCAGACAGTACCTGGGAGTAACACTCCTGGTGTACTGGCTCTAATAAATACAAATATATAATAAGTTGGATTTATATTAAAGATTTAGGAGTGATTAATATCACTAAAGAGTCTTTGATGTTTAATCTTTATAATCACAGGTTTTTTTGTTTTTGTTTTGTTTTTTAGAGACAGTGAGCAAGCAAGAGTGTGAGCAGAGGAGAGCGGCGGGGGGGTTGCGGAATCTTAAGCAGGCTCTATGCTTTGCACAGAGCCCGACAGAGGGCTCCATCCCACGACCCTGAGATCATGACCTGAGCTGCAACCAAGAGTCAGAATCTCAGCTGACTGAGCCACCCAGGCACCTCAATCACGGGATTCTTTATCTCGGTAAGTTCTGTTAACATATCTAAAACAGAACCCGATATTGCCACTGAGTTAGTTGGAGGACGGAGGAGGAAGGTACCCATGAAAATCACAGAGCAGTCAGAATAGCCTTCACCCAGACTGTGAGGGGTGCGTGCGGTGTGCATGTGTCTGGGAGGCAAGGGTGCGTGCTGTGGAGGGTGATGGCGGTGACAACCAAATCCCTGTGCATACAGGTTGTCCACCCCGTACCTCCAGTGCTTCTGAGTCCACAGGCGTCAGCTGGGCAACGCTGGCATAGATCTCCACCGCTTTATCTCCAGCCCTTTTGGCCTCTTCATGCACTCGGGCGGCTTGCTTCTCCAGATCCTGTGAGATGTTCTTTGCTTGTTCATACCTAAGGAACAAAAGATGTGACTGAGTGAAAAACTGAGTTGCTTCTGGCATCTTAATGTTAACTGCATTCATTCCAGTTCAAATCACTGCAATAGAATTTCTACAACTTTAAAGAAAATGCTATTTTATTTTTAAGTTCGTTTATTTATTTTGAGTGTGTGTGTGCAGGGAAGGGGCAGAGAGAGAGGGAGAGAGAATCCCAAGCAGGTTCTGCCCTCTCAGTGCACTCTCACAAACTCTGAGATCATGACCTGAGCTGAAATCAAGAGTCGGATGCTTAACTGACTGAGCCACCCAGGCGCCACAAGCAAATGCTATTATTTAAAACCAACATAGCTTAAATTTATATTTCATCTCATCACTTCTATTTATACCATATGGTTTACCACATAGTTTCTTATTTCGGATACCTTTTAAACATTTGTAGCTCAAGTGTATTTTCTCTACTTTATGATATTTCCTCTTTCTTTTCTCACTTTTGCAGAATTTTAAGTATCATGGCTAGTCTTGTTACCTTTCTCTGTAGTTACAGGAATTAGATCAAATAAAATCTCTGTTGCTCTATATCCCTGCTCTAATTACTGCACCATTTCAAAAGCATGATTAACAAAAAGAATCTTACTGCCTGAATGCATGCCCCGAATGCATCAGCATTTCATTTTTCATGGAAATGGTGCTGCTTGCAACAACTGAAAGGCCAGAAGCCACTTTTAAATGACACTCACTTTCTATTAAGCTCCTCAATCTCCAGTGTTGTTTGATTCTCTCCTGCCAGTGTTCTCAGAAGCAGATCATATGCCTCAGTTGATGTCTCATTAGCTGTCTTTGCCACTCTTACAATATCATCAGCTTCTTGTTTATGGCTGGATAACATAAAAGAAAAAAGGAACCATGAAACAGAACTATTTAATCGAGAAAGAAGCAGACTTTAGGTAACGCTTACCTTACTATATATACAAATGCCAACGTGGGCAGAGCTCTATAAATACTGGAAAAATCTTCTAAATTTGGAATTTTGCAATCATTTCAATGGGGCTAAGTTTACAATAACATTCAACAATCTGAGAAAATGGCATTTTCCCAGAGGTTATTTTCCAAGCAATATTTTCCTATAAAGTTTATAGAGGCAAATGTTTATATTTCTTCAAAAAATGACTTCTAAGTATAATTATTTAAGAATAATTTATCTGTAAAACCATATATCCTAGCAAGGACTCATTCATCTAGTCATAAGCACAAACCTCAGATCTAATGTTTAATCCTTACTCTGGTTCAGTTACTACATAGTCCTGAAACAGCTTCGACTATTCAGATTTTGCACAGGCAACCTAATCACTGACCAGGAAAAGCCACCCAACACTCAATGGAAAGAAACATGTCACCAGGGAATCCAGCCAAATAATGCGAATTTTAGCTGGGTAAGTCATTAAGATTTTGTCAGCTCTAAAATTTCTATTACAGTGTCATACTGCCATATGTGGTCATTCTTTTTTTTGGTATGATAAGCTTTCTTTCAAAATTCCTGTATGAAATACACCAAATTATTTTATCTTCAAGACCTAATTATCTTAGGAGTTTTCCATATGTTTTCAGCTGTCATCTTTTAATCACAAAATCTAGCTATGAAACCATGAATGTTCCATGAACTAAATTACGCAGCTCACACATTTACATTTACAAAGAATAGAAAGAGCACATGTTAAAGCAAGAAGCTGAAGTAATCACTTTGAACAATGAGGTTAAAATTCTAACGCTGGGCTTACTTAAGCACCATGAGGTCTGCGAGCTGGTGTGCAATGCATTCAACATTTATTGAGCACTTAGTGTATCCCAGACATTGTGTTAGGCACTGGAACTTCAGTGAATAAGCCTACATTCTAGCAACTTGTTTAACCGCTTTTTTTTATTCAGTTTAATACTCTCCTATGACTTAAAGTTTTCCTACGAAACTACCTTACACTTCATAATAATTAAACAAAAAAACCTTAAAAAAAATCAGGAATGAAACAGTCTGTTTTCTTGGGCTGATTTTCAAATGTACTATGTGTTAGTAAATGTTGTCTCTTAAAATATGAGAGTTAAGCATTTTTGTTAAAAATTAACCTTAAAAATTAAAAAAAAACACATTCAACTGAGCTTATTATCAACTTAAAGGTTCTGAAATTAAACATCTAAAAATTTTATGGTTTTCTTTGAGAAGTGCAAATACAATTTCCCTCCAAAGCATCATATTCAAATATTCAAAGTAAATATTCTAATTTCAAAGGAAAGAGTACACATAGCCGATGACATTTCAGAAGAGAGAGCAAACTTTGCCAAAGTGGGATATGTGAAAAGTGTGTGTGGGTAAAGGAGTGACAATAAGTACACACTGTAAGGAAAGTTCTAGCTTAACCATGAAAACACAGGGATCTGGAGGTTACCGTTCAGCAAGCTTTCGTGCCTCTTCTGCCAAAAGAGTCATGTTGTTTGGGTCCCCGGTGGACTCTGGTTGAGTGATTGACTGAAAAGGAAATAAATAAAGCACTAATCTCAAAGGACTGAATTATTTAAATTTAATAAAGCAAGTGTCAAAACCAAATTTGTATCAGTATTATTTAGCAGAAAGAATGTCTCATTAATTAAAAGATCTTTACTTATTATTAGCCTCCTTGGTTACAGATTACTATTTGTTTTCATCAAAGGATAAGGGAAGTATAAATTGCCTAGTGCTATAGAAGGAACAAAGCTAGAGAAATGACCCAGATGTCCTTTGGTTTTTATCCAGTTCGTGATAACTATTTAATGACAACTATGAGCAATGTGGCTTTCTTGGTCCATGACAAAAAGACGTAAGTCAATTTAACTGAAGCATTCAACGGACAGTAACAGACTTGCTACAAATTACCAGGGGACTCCTACAACCCAACCTCAGACCTTCCCAATCACTCACCACATTGGCAACAGCAATCTTTGCTTTCTCAAGTTCTCGGGATGCAATTTCAATCAACTGCTCAGTGCTTTCTACCCTGGCACGTGCTTGCTCAGCCAAGTTTCCAGTCTCTTCAATGGTATTCCGTATATTCTGTAAACGGCTAATTTGGCTGGATAAGGTATTATTCAATCTCTGGAGGCGATCTATCAAATTCTGGTCTATATCTGCAATGGCATTGCAGAAGAAAGTCCATAAATTATCTGAAGCAGGGACATATCTTACATGAAAGCTGAGGCAAAACCTTATTCTTCCAAACACAGATCTTTCCGATAAGCTTTTCCTAAGCCCATCGGCAGGACTGGTCAGTCTTTACGGTGTGCCCAGTTGTACCTCCACTGTTGCATTTATAACACTGTCTCCAACTGTGTGTCTGTCGGTCCCACTTGACTATGAGCTTCTCTTTCTTACTCATTCCCAGTCTTACACAGTGATTAGCAAAAAGGAGACACCCAAGAAATGTCTGACAAAGGAAAGTTTGATATTCCAGCACATGCCAGATTTAATCATAAAAATAAAATATTAAAAGCACTACCAGCTCTGAGTGCTACACATTTTTCTAAACTAGGAAAAAACCAGGTTCAAAACAGATGTTGAAGTGTGGCCAATTAAATTCATTTTGTATTTTAGGGGCGCCCAGGTAGCTCAGTTGGTTAAGCATCCAACTCTTGATTTCGGCTCGTTATGATCTCATGGTTTGTGAGTTGGAAGCCCCGTGTCGGGCTCTATGCTGACCGTGAAGAGCCTACTTTGGACCTTCTCTCTCTGCCTCTACCCCAACTCACTTTTTCTCAAAATAAATAAATAAACATTAAAAAAATTAAAAAATAGGTTCATTTTGTATTTTAAACTAAATACAGACTTGCTGCCACCTCCCACCCCCTGGAATACCCATGTCATTTCTTTCATACTGATTTCTGCTTTTGAAGAGTTCTTCAAATTGTTTTTTAATTGTGCCCATTCAGCCTAAATCTCATACCTATGTCCTAATAAAAGATAAATATAAGCTCATGCAAATATGGTTGGCATTGTCAAAACTCGCACGTGTCCTAAGATTATATTAATACACATTATATTAACACACATATTAGTATACATAAGTCCTATGCAAAACTGATCAGTTCTTATTTCAACATGATGTTCAGAGTTGGCATCTAAATTTTCCAAGGAATGTGAAAAAGAGGAGAGGTCACGGTTAAGATCAATAAAGATGAATACAGGTTTGGAAAACAGCAACCACGTAGGCAGGGTCACCAAATACTCGTGCACAGTTGGTGTGGTGCAAAACTCTTGCCTAACTATAGACAGTGACCCTGCTTGAATGATCAACCACTTCTTTAATAATCTGAAGATTTTTAAGAAAACAACAAAAGACAAAGTGTCGAAATCATAGAAAATCATTTAGACTTAGGAAGCACAAGCAGCCAATGAAGTTATAAAAGCCCCTTCCCTTTAGACATTCAGGAATGTAACAGATACCAATCTCTCTGGCCAGCTCGAGAGAAACAACAGTAACTGAAAAGGGAATAGATAATGCAACTGGTAGGATCACTTGAAATGCCTTCAAATTGCAAAACCTAGTTGCACCATATAATCTCCTTTTAAAGCTGCAGAATAAACACAAGTTTAAACTACAAATAAACACTCAGGGATGGTCTGAAAGGATAAATCATTGTGAAGATATTCTTATTCTCGGCTAGTTTGAACCCAAGTAAGAAAGGTCAGCCAGGAACTCCATGAAACCAAGCCTTAGTGGGAGCAGACTTTAACCCTAGCCCGGCTATGGTGCTACCCAAGCCCCGGGAAGCAGCAGCCCATTATGTTCCTGCCTTGCAAGTGGTTCAAGGGGAGGCATGACGGCCATGACTTCTGTCAAAGCTTCTGTCCAATGGGATTGTCTGCTCTAATAGAGGAAAGGAGGCAGTCAAGGCCAGAGGAAGCTAGACCTAGCTGGGGCTGCACTAAGATGCGATCAATGCTGGCTGACCCCCCTTTCTTGCCTCTTGACTGCTCCCATGTGCTCCTTGTGTTGGCACCCCAGCTCTCCAATGGACTGATCAGCAGTTAATTATAACTCTGCATTCAATTCTTCAATGAGTATGGCAGTATTCTTCAATGGTAATTTGTTGTTTCAAGAGAATACATTACAGGAAAAACGTGTGCCAAAAGGTTTTGCCAACAAATGAACATACTAAAAACGCAAAGAACAGGAATAAACACAACAGGAAACATTTAAGTTCTTCTTATTCTGTTTTTTTTTAAATTTTTTTTTCAACGTTTTTATTTATTTTTGGGACAGAGAGAGACAGAGCATGAATGGGGGAGGGTCAGAGAGAGAGGGAGACACAGAATCGGAAACAGGCTCCAGGCTCTGAGGCATCAGCCCAGAGCCCGACGCGGGGCTCGAACTCACGGACCGCGAGTTCGTGACCTGGCTGAAGTCGGACGCTTAACCGACTGCGCCACCCAGGCGCCCCTTCTTATTCTGTTTAACACTTAAAATGTACCAACACCACAAAACACAACTAAAGTTAACATAAACTATTGACCTCTTTTTTTTTATTTATTTATTATTTTGAGAGAGAGAGAGAGAGAGAGAGAGAGAGAGAGAGAGAATCCCAAGCAGGCTCCACACTGCCAGTACAGAGCCCAACACGGGGCCTGAACTCATGAACTGCAAGGTCTTGACCCGAGCTGAAACCAAGAGTTGGATGCTTAATGGACTGAGCCACCCAGGCGCCTCAACTTCTTATTTTTAAATTTCTAAAAATTTACCTTATAGAACGATTTCTGGACTCTCATATAAAAATTCAACAAACTGGCCCAAACCAGATGCATCCAAATTACTTCCTTCCTCATTAATTTTATAAAATCAAAATTATATACATTAGGGATATCTACAATAAGAAATAAGGACTATATTTAGTTTCTGTTGACCTGTACTCTGATAGGAAGATTCTCTAACTCCAAATGGGTAGATTCATAAACTCAATGAAGAGGTCAATCACTGTGGTTCCAAATGTACTAATGTTAATGCACATTTACTATGAGTATCTGTGAACACCTGTACCTCAACGATGGGATGCTCTAGACAAAAGTGACCTTAGCCAGATGGGGAACACTTTGATAGAAGGAGCAGTATCTTGTTCATGTTTTCATTAACTGGTGTTTAGCACAATGCGTGGTATACTATAGGCACTCAGTAAATGTAGAAAAGGATTTGTCCAAATTTAGAAAAAAAGCTTAATTCAGAGTAAGAAATAAAAATAAAACAAGGGTGCCTGGGTGGCTCAGTCAGTTGAGCGTCCAACTGCAGCTCAGGTCATGATCTTGCGATTCTGGGTTCAAGCCTGCATTGGGCTCTGTGCTGACAGCTCAGAGCCTGGAGACTGCTTTGGATTCTGTGTCCCCCCTCCCTCTGTCCCTCCCCAGCTTGTGCTCTGTCTCTCTCTCTCTCAAAAATTAACATTAAAAAATTTTTTAAAAACATTAAAGTGATTTTTTTGGGGGGGCGCCTGGGTGGCGCAGTCGGTTAAGCGTCCGACTTCAGCCAGGTCACGATCTCGCAGTCCGTGAGTTCGAGCCCCGCGTCGGGCTCTGGGCTGATGGCTCAGAGCCTGGAGCCTGTTTCCAATTCCGTGTCTCCCTCTCTCTCTGCCCCTCCCCTGTTCATGCTCTGTCTCTCTCTGTCCCAAAAATAAATAAACGTTTAAAAAAAAATTTTTTTAAAACATTAAAGTGATTTGTTAAAAAATGTTTTTATTTATTATTTTTGAGACAGAGAGAGACAGAGCATGAGCAGGGGAGGGGCACAGAGAGAGGGAGACACAGAGTCCGAAGCAGGCTCCAGGCTCTGAGCCGTCAGCACAGAGCCTGACACAGGGCAAAAACTCACAGACTGTGAGATCATGACCTGAGCTGAAGTCAGATGCTTAACCCACCGAGCCACCCAGGTGCCCCTAAAGTGATTTTAAAAGTAAATATTTTAAAATAACTTTTTCTTACTTTCAAAGTTTTAAAAACTCAAGTTCCTTTAAAGTCAATAAAGTATTTTGAAATAGTTTTCTAAATCTTAAACCAACTCCTTCTCTGCTTATGATCAGATAAGCTGACATAATAAGCTTATCTCATCATAATATGGTACAGATAATGTACAGAGAAGTGACATAATTGCAAAGGACATTAAATACACCACAGTATAAAATGTACTTTACATGATGTTATTAGAACATTTGTTCACTTATTAAACAGAACAGTCAATACTTGAAGACTACACTTTTTCCTTATGAGGGTCCTAAGGAAATAAAGCAGTACATAAAATAAATTCTGACTCACTAGAATAACAAAAAAATCCAAGTTCAAATTTTCTACTTAAAATAATGTACACCCAAAATGCATACCTTTCATGATTTTTAAAAACTGTTTTAAAACACTTTGTAATAGAATAGATTTATAAAACACTTAGAATTTTAACATCTAATAGTTTCTGATGTGCTGGGAGAACTCTTTTCACTTGCTATATCCAAAAACATTAAGTTGACAAGTTCTTGTATTTTCACAGATTGTTTGAAAAAATTCATATTCTACAAATAGTTTAAGAAATCGAGAATTTTGTAAAGCTGTACTAACTAACCTTGAACTAGGAGCCACGTCTAAAGATTGGGCCATCTGGCAGAAGTTACCCACTGTTTAAACATGTATACCTTTGACATCCTGGGCCTCTCGAAGGAGGTCCATAACTTCTCTTTCTGCTTCCTTTAGCCTGTCCTCAAAGGCTTGATCTGTCACCACCTCTTCCCCAGTTCCAAGGTTTGCTATGAGATTCTCTAATTCCTGGAGTTTCATTCGATGATCAGCAACCTGCACATGATGAAGAACATACAGAGAACCCAGCTGGACTTCCTGCAGGAATAATCATCAAGGGGCACTCTATACATACGCAAGTCTACACACTCCACCTATGTCCACTTTTGAACAGGTAACACAGGTGGTTTTTCTTTATTGTTCTGGCTTCCAGAGAGAAACTACCAAGTCTATTCCTTTGACATTAAACACTACATGTGGATGATTCTCCAGTTCTGACCTCTCTTTTAGGTCTTAGATTACTTTCCTGATACCTCCACTTGGCTCTGATAGGTATCTCTCAATTCAACATCCAAAACTATACTCTTGATTTTCTTCTCTTAAATCTGCTCTCCCTGAGTCATCTCCATCTCAATAACCAATGCCTCCAGCTACCTTACGCAAAAAACCCAACATGCTTCCTTGATTCTTCTCTTTCCCTGTCCTTGCCCCCAAACACACATACTTATCCAATTCAGTCCAGGCTTCCCTTTCTACCCCACTCCTGACCATCATTCTTCACATAACAGTCAGCGTGTTCTTCTTAAAATATGAATTGGATTTCCTAGCTTAAAACCCTTCGGTGCATTCTCCCTGGATCTGGAGTAAAATCTAAGGTTGACATGGTGCAACATGAGCTATGTCCACCAACCTCTCCCGTCTTCTCACAAACCAGCCCTCCTCGTTCAGGAGCCCCAGACAACCTCCACGTTTGAGGCCTGTGTATCCCATATTCCCTCTGCCTGGAACAGCCTACCTGTCACTTCTCATTCAACTTATTCCCTCTTATTCTTCAGATCTCACCTTAAATAAATTTCCTTAGAGAGGCCTTATAGAAAGTAGTTCCTCCAGTTACTGTCTATACCCTTTCTTGTGCTTATCTCAGTTAGTACTTTTTTTTCTTTAATTTTTATTATTTGTCTCCCAACTGGAACATAAGTCTTGGAGGACAGGGACCATGTCTACCTTGTTTACCATCTGTTCTCCAAAGCTAAGTGCACAGGAAGCACCCCTTCAATGTCTGCTGAGTGAGTGAATGAGTGAACGAGTGAATGCATGGTGGACAGCTTACCTTATCCTTCACCAGCCGGTAACATGCTGGACATTCCTGGCAGCCAGGCCGAGACCGATTGTAGAAATAGTTCTCTTCACACTGGTCACAGCGATTTCCCACAAAACCTTCTCTGCATTCACAGCGACCATCGTCTTTGCACTGGAGTGAAAGAGATCCCTCGGGATGACAGTCACACGCTGCGGAATAAAGGGAAAAGAGTACGTGACAGGGAAAAGAAGGAAGAGTGAGTTTTTTTTCTTTTAACTCAGATTGATATCAATAAGGCATTATAAGTAGACATTTTTTTAAAACCAGGCCAAATTATGAGAATTTGAACAGTTAATTCTACTTAGCAGAGAAAACAGAAATTTTTAAAGCAAAAGTGAGTTTCAAAGTAAAATGTACATCCCTTGGAGGGGGCACATTTTATGTTACTTAATAATTATAGAAATTAGTCTACTGAACTAGTCAGTGCCCTTTTTTGCACTTCAAGAATTCTTCTCTACCTTCATCTCTCTGCTGTTTAATGCTTCTCTCACTAAGAAACTAGAAAACCCAAATGCTAATACTTATTTTGCATTATTTTATAGTTTGTTTACTTGCTTTGTTCTCTGAACTGGGTCAATGATTTATGCTACATTCCACAGGAGAAATGAAGGAATTCAAAAAGCAAAGCACCAAACTGTTCCGAGGCCTAATTCCAGGCAAGTGTTTATGCCAAGGAGAAGCAGATGTTTAGATGTAACTGAACCAAAAGGGCCCCAAGGGTGGGAAGGAACTGCAGCCGGTAAGTCGACCAACAAGTTGTGAGCAAAGTCTCTCACCATTTAATTATCTGCTCTCAGAATGCGATCAATAAAAATTTTTCATTAAGCACAGTGGGAAAGTCCAGTAATCAAAGGGAGACTCCCCTCGGAAAGACAAAAGACTGGAGAAAGAATCAGAAATGATATAAAAGAAGATGTAAATAAGGTGGCCGCAAAGGAACCCGAGAAGCTCCCAATCCCCGGAGTATGAGACAAGGCTAATATTCATTGATGATGGCTTAGGTACTGCCCTGACTGCAAGCCATGGGGCCAGACGGAGGCTGTCAAAGTCTGCAGTTCTAACTGGCATTAGGAAAGACTTTGAGTTCTATGCCCCCAAAAGTCCTTACGTTTGCAGCCTTCGGGTCCAAACCCGAAGTGGTTGACTTCACAGCGCTCACAGTGCTGACCGGTGATGCCAGGCTGGCACTCACATTGGCCACTGCGGATGTCACACTGTCCATTGGTGGAACCCAAAGCATGGCAGTCACACCTGAAAATGAACACACAACATTTCTCAGGTAAGAAAAACGGACTCTCAGCAAACCATCCCCCCACCTCTGTTCAGCATAGAACTGATGTAATCTGTATTAGAAAACAGAATGTAAAGGGCTATTAAGACAAAATGTTATGGGCTATTAAGCGCCTGAGGTTCAAGTAATTTTCAGGGGTTCTACTGAGAACCTCCTTTTCTAACCTAACCCACAAATATAGTTATTTCACTGCTAAAACCACTACAAAGTGGCTCTCCAACCCGGCACCGCCTATGTACTGACCAAGAGCTTGGAAAAGAGCAATTCCCAGGCTGCAAGCCCCAGAGGACCTGATTCTCAGTGCGTCAGAGAGCACCATGTGATTTGTTGTCTTCTAACTGTTGCTCAGGTGATTCTGACACAACTGGGGAAGCTTCATTCCACTCTTTTCTCCCATTAGCTTAATTACAACTGTCCAGGATTGCCTCTAAGGATACTCTGCCTCAACTGGGCACTCAACTCCTGAACAAAATCAAGGCTACCGTTACATACAGCTCAGAAAAATTCACCTCTCCCAATTAAAAAAGCAAAGATCACTTCCAGCAAAGGCACCTGGCGTCTCACCTCTCGCAGCCTTGCCCACTCTGCAGGTTGTAGAAGCCGGGGTCACAGGCCCCGCAGTCCCGGCCAGTCACGTGGGGCAGACATTCGCACTGCCCGGTCACAGGGTTACAGCCTCTCTGCTGCTTCACGGTTCCATAGGGATGGCAGTCACAGGCTAAGGGGGGAAGCAGAGAGCAAAAGATGCAAATCGCCCGGGAGAAGGACTAAAATGTAAACAATACAAACAAACCCTTTACACTTCAGTTGAACCAATACAGTAGCCACTAATCACAGGTGGCTGTTGAGCACCTGAAATGGGGCTGGTCTTGAGATGTGCTGTGAATGTGATATACATCCCACATTTTAAAGACTTAGCGTGGGGCAAAAAGAACATACATCTTGATCATTTTTAATTCATTAGTCACTGAAACGATAGTATAGTAGATGTGTTAGGTGAAATAAAATGTATCATTAAAATCAATTTCACCTGTTTCTCTTTATTTCAACGTGTCTATGAGAAATTTAAACTACGAAAGGTTCACAATTTCTATTGAACAGTGCCTTGTTAGACCAAACAACTGGAAGTATTTAAAGAGACCACACATGAATCCTCAGAATACATGAGTACAACCGTGACAAATGGCTAGATCACCTTTGCATTTGTCTGCTGGATTAGGGGCCAGGGCATTTCCAAAAAATCCATCTTTGCATCGGTCACAATAGAAGCCAGCAGTGTTATAGATGCATTTCAGGCATTCTCCTGTCAAGCGATTGCAATTTCCAACGGCATTGGGATCGATGTTGTCATTGCACTGGCAGAGGCGGCAAAGCCTCACGGGGCCGTTTCTCCCCAGAGGGTCTCCAAAGTAGCCATCGTCACAGAGCTCACATCTTTTACCTGGACATGAGACAAATCTGATGTTACGAGAGAAGGGCCTTAGACATTTCTGGTGCCACTGGATACAAACAGTCTGGTCACAAAGAATCTAGTTTAACCATCAGATGTGAGGCGGCATGCTGCAGCTGACAGGGCACCAGCCCAGGAGAAGCTTCTAGACCTGGGCTGCAGTCCTGGCCTGTGCCAGTATCGGCTGAATGACTCCAGGCACATCTCCATTTTGTTATTAGAAAGACAGGACCCGCTCTGCCCACTCCACATCAGCTGTCCTGGGGACTAACCGAAATCATGCATTAAAAGTGCTTTGTGGGGCGTCTGGGTGGCTCAGTTGGTTAAGCATCCAACTTTGGCTCAGGCCATAATCTCACAGTTTGTGCGTTTGAGTCCCGCATCAGGTTCTGTACTGTCGGCACAGAGCCTGCTTCAGATCCTCTGTCCCCATCTCTCTCTGCCCCTCCCCCCTCCCCCTTTCTCTCAAAAAGATAAATAAACAAACATTTAAAAAAGTACTTTGCAAATGAGTCAGGCTCAGGGTTTATTAACCTCTCCAGTCCCAAGGGATGGCACATTCATGTTTGTTTTGTTCATGATATTAAAACAGATGAAGGGCCACTCGATATCTTAAGTTTCCCATACAACAGAGTAAGCAGGACAATTTTCTAAAAAAAGTAAAAGGTTTGTGCTAATCCTTGTTTTAGCAGTGTCAACTGGTACAGAATCAGAGTATTTAGAAGATAACTTAAAGAGATCATCATTTGCCACCAGCTTCTATTATAGCTAAGGGAACAGAGAGGTTAAGTAACTTGCCCACAACCAAACAGTTAGAGTCCAGGACTCTTTCCACCATACTAAACTCACTGCTCCTCCTCTTTTCTTTTCCACTTCTCCATTATCATTAGCTCAAGTTGGGTTCTTGATATATTTGTAGCTAACAGGGCCTGAATGAGCCTAAATTGTTTGGAGAAACAAAGGTTTGTTCATTTATTCATTTAACAAGCACCTGCCGAGCATTTATTACACAGGCACTGTTCTAGGTTGTCAGGATGATGTGGTGAACAAGGCGGACAAGATCTCCACTCTCACAAAGCTTATGCTGCAGCTGGGGGAGACCAATCCACAGACATATAAATAAAAATGATTAGTTCAGATAGGGATAAGCATAAGAAAGTTAAAACATTTTGAGCAATATGGCAGAGTGACAGGGCAATGGCTACTTCAGATTGGGTGGTTAGAGAAAGCTCTGTAAAGAGGAGATATGTGGGATGATAACGTAAAGACAGGAAGAAAACAGCCATGATAATATCCAAGGGAAGAATGTGCCAGAAAAACAAGATGAGCTTATAGAAGTAGTAAGAGCCAATCATGTAGGTCACAGTAAAAAGTCTGGTTTAAAGTGATATTAGAGGGTTTTTGAAGTGATGTGACCTGAAATACATTTAAAAAGGATTATCTCAGCTGCCATGTGAGAGTGGACTACAGGGCCGCAGAGTGAGAGAGGCTCATTAGGAGACCAATTAGGCCATTCCAGGTGAGAGAGGGCAGTGGTGTAGACCAGGGTGGTGGCAGTGGAGGCAGTGAAAAGTGGTCAGATGTGAGACAGACTCAATCACACGTGCTGGCTGACTGCTTCCGGGAAATGAAAGAAAGAATTAAAGATAAGCCTAGGATTTTAGCTTGGGCAACTAGGTGGATGTGAGTATTTTCATGCAGTTGAACAAGATTGGGAAAGGACAGGGTTGGGTTAGAAAAAAAGAGAAGAAATCAAAGATGTAGCTTGGATATGCTTAAAAATGCCTTTAGCCCTGTGACTCAAGAGGACAGCAGAAAATGAAAGACACATTCAAATTAGCAAGACCTAAAGACAGTTTAATAAACATATTCTCTATACAAGTATGGGTGTAAGGAATCCCTGAAGAGAGTGTAGCACCTGTGGCAGTGACTGTCGGGCTCCATGACCTGGGCCTCAGTGGGTGGATGGAGGGAGCAGCTAACCAGAGTCTCACATTAGAAAGGGTTGTCTGGAAAAGGCTGGCTATAACTGAGAACCTTGATTAAGGTCACCAGCCTCAAGGACCCTATGGAGAGGAGGACTTGGAATAAATACTCTGCCCCCACCCCCATCCCCGACCTCCTGTATATACTTCCTGCTGCCTGGACACAAATGGAGGGTCCATCTGATGTGGTGCACACAGGCCTTGTCAGGGTGGAGAAGAATAAAGAACGGATGTGAAGGGGCAAATGGAAAGCTTCCAGCCCACCCGCCAAGTGGAGACGGCAAGCAAGTAGCTGCCACTCAGGGGAGAGCACAGTCGGGGCTGAAGATGCAGATTTTTTTAGTAAGCACAGAAAGGCTTTTGAAGCCTGAAGGACAAGACTCGTTCACCTGAGGGGAGAATATAGATGAGTTGACATGGAAGCCTTAGGCTGAGAACCAGAAGTGATCAACAGAGACTCGAGAGGAGAGGGAAAGAACGAAACCCAAGAGGGGGCAGTGTCACCGAAGGCGAGAGGGGAAATGTCTGGGGCAGAGCGAGCAGTCAACTGAGTCCAGTGTTGCTGGGAGACGGGGTCAGATGAGGACTGAAAACTGACCCCTGCATTTGGCAAATGGAGACCACTGATGAGGTGAACAGAAACTCTAGCTGGGGGTGGGGCAGGAGGGGAAGGAATGAAACACTAAGAGAGGAAAGGAAGCTTCTGGTCTGTGATATACATAGGTACCAGACCCTCACCCAAGAGCCTTCTCCAGACTAGGATCACAACAGCATTTCAGTTTTGCTTTTTATCAGGTAATTTGGCTATTCTAGATATGATGTATATTTAAAATGCCTTGAAACTGGTTTTGAATACAACAATTAAAAAAATGACCTAAAACAGAGGTGCATGGTAGCCCAGGGGAAGCTTTCACTCCAAAATATCTCCCAGCAACATGACAGCTAACTCATCCCCTTTTGTCGCAGAGTCCAGGATGTAGGTTCAAGTCCTGGATGGATTGCCTACATAACTCTGGGCAAGTAATGTACTTTTTTGGGCCCTAGTTTTTCCTTATCATTCTGTCCCCACCCTCAGGGAGGTGTTGCTCCTTCACCTCTGGCCCTCTTACGTGAGTTCCTTTGTCTGAACTAACCACACTGTCTAAAAATTATCTGTGTTTGCCTCCACACTTTTAGCCCCTGAAGAGCAGGGACCATCCCTAATTCATCTCTGCAGTTTCATTCCCAAAGCCAGGGACTCAAATAAATGTGTTGAAAAAAGAATATTATTATTAATTGACCCCAAAAGATCATTTTAAAGATGTTGTGAAGAAGATCTCATCTGTGAAGATCTCAGGGACTATCAGTAGTTATTTCTATTCTTCAGTAGCCTTCTAAATGAGGAACACCTTACCCTGCATCTGCAATCTCTATTCATCATCCAAAAAATATTTGCATTCATTCAACAAGTATACATGTCAAGTGCTATTCGGGGTGTCAGGGATACAAAAATGAGTAAGACAGACAGAAGTCCCTGCTCTCGTGGAGCTTAAACTGGGGTGAAGGAGAGGAAAGACAGACAACAAACAAATGAATAAACAGAAAAATATCAAGTGGTTAAAAAGCACTATGAAAAAAGTAAAGCAGGAAATAGGACTAACGAGCGATGGCATTATTTTTCACAGGGTCTAGGCTGTTTTTCAGGTGGACCTCTACCTCAATTAACATCCTCAAGAAGTGCTATTGCTCATCTCCTTCAAGCCAGGTGATAACTAAGAAGACAAAGAAGACGAATGTATTTCACAAGTCTTGTGTGAGAGGCATCTAGTTATAGACTAACGGGTTTACAACATTTTGCAAGATCTCCTATATTACACTCTATCTCTCCATTACGTATCCCAAGTCGTCTCAGTGCACCATTTGTATTATTCAGCACTGCCATGAATGAATACCCCCAAATGCTTAGCTTAGTTTTATGCTTGCAGACTACCCAATGGAACAACAGAGTGAGCAAAGGGATCTCTCATCAAAACATTTTATCAGGTACATCTAAGTATAGATTCTAAGCAAGTGGGATCTTGAGCTATGCTGTGGCAGCAGAGTAAAGGGTCTTAAAAACCTGAGGTGGTAGTGCGGGGAGGGTTCACTGAGGAAAGCCTTCCTAGGGAAGTGATATTTCAACCCAACTCCATGGAAAAGATTGGAGCTGGACAAGAAAAGTGAGGTTTGAGTGCAAGAAAGTAGAGTAAAGTATTCTCAAAAAAGAACATCATATATGGCAGGCCATAGAGTCTGGCTCATCTGATGGATTACAAGAAGCCCAGGATGGCTGGAGCAGGAGCAGCGAAGGCAACAGTGGGTGGTGGGAAACGAGATCAGGTCAGAGAAATGCCATCCGTGAGCCTCTGCTGGGCCACTGTTTTAGAACACACATACACACAGAAAAGAGTAAAAAACCTGGAAGTCAACACTAGTTTCTACTCCTTTTCTCAACTACCTCAAGCAAATGATTGAATCTCTTTGTGTTACAATGTGCTTGTGCTTAGTGTGGGCTCAGTGGAGTAGTGAAAGGAAGATGAAGTGTTTTGATGTTTCCCAACGAATAAACAATGTTTTGATGATATACAAGAGATACAAATTATTAGGTCAGTGTTTTTTATTTTTTACTTATTTCCCTGCTCTGCAGCAATATCTTTTGAACAAAAAGTTTTTAATCATATCTGAAGCCTAGCCAGAACCTATCACATGGGGGCTAAAGTCAATGAAAAAGAGGAATGAATGGTCATCAGTGAGATTTGGAGTCCTTAGCATGACAGTTCCTCGAGTAGCTAAGAAAGATCTAGTTTTATGTTCTTATCAAAAAGAAAGAAACTCTGAGAATAGGAACAGAGGTCTATCCAAAGCTATACAAATATTTTTTCCCAACTAAATGTGATGGGCAATGATGCACCAAAAGGACTATTTAAAGACAGAAAGAATTTAAAGAATTAAAAAAATGCCAATTTATATCAAGAATCCCAGGACAGCCCCACAAACTAAAAATCCAGTTTTGGTTCTCATGTCGGGGAGAGTACACTGTAGTGGTCATGAGCTCTTCCAGTGACTAGCCGTGCAGCTGGGACATGTAACTTAATATCTCTGCACCTCAGTTTTCTTGGCTGTGACAGGGGGGTCATGGCAAAAGCCACCTCATGGGGTTGTGAGGATTAATGAGGCAGAATGTGTAAAGTGCTCCGAGAAGTATGTGGCCATAAATATGTTGGCTATTATTTGTATCTGATACTCATTCTATAAATGGATAATACATCTCTTTCCTAACCAAACTTTTGCCTACCCAGAACACCATAATCACTGAATCAAAGCAACAGACAAAAGTCCGCAAGCCCCCAGAGCTCCTCTTCCCGAGTGATTTTTGGGATGGAACACTGAGAGCCTACGGAAGAGTGGACTCACCAGTGGTGCCAGTGGGACAGTTGGTGCACACCACCTCCTGAGTCTTAGGGACAACGGCACAACTCGAGCCCCCAGGACACGGACAGAGCTGGCAATCGGAAGAGGTGCCTGCGGTCGAATCTCCATAGTACCCGTCACCGCACTTCTCACAGTGGGGTCCAGCTGTATTGTCTCTGCAGTCGCAAACACCTATGTGGAGAGCGGGGATGAGAGAACAAGCCAGCGTGCAAGCACATGAGACCGTGAGCACTTCCCATCCATCTGCTAGACGACGGAGGTCTAGCAGCCACCAAAGACCATCTGCTCACCTGTCTCAGGGTCACAGGTCTCACTGTGTCCATTGCAGGTACAGAGCACACACGGGCTGTACGGCCCGAGACTCGGAGTTTCTCTTCTGTAACCTGAGAGGCACATCTCACAAAACTGCCCTCCGTATCCCACAGGACAGGTACAGGACTCCACCCACGTTGCAGGCACCCCAGGCCCGGGGCGAGCGCTTGTCAGGGTGACATCATCCAAATAGCCAGCACCTGTGTATGACGTGGGCAGGAGAATCACTGAACTGGCTTCTGTTTTTCAAAAGCTTACAGAAAGTTAATAAAGCTAAAGAGTTATCAGATACAAAATTCCAGAGAAAATCAACTATTAGTTAAGTCATCTTTTGGAGGAGGTAACTAGAAAATAGCATTCACAACATTTGTGGGGTACCTAGCATTAAGTATTTGGAAGGGCAGTATAGCAAACATTTTTAAACACACACACACACACACACACACACACACACACACACACACACAACAACCGGATTTGTTGGATTCTTCAGTTCTCTCAATCACCAATGTGACAAAGGAAAAGCACTGGGAAATATTCCGGGACAAGAAAAGATTGGAGCAAGAATGCAGGGGATAAGAAGAGTTTAAGTCCATAGCCATTAAGCAGTGTTTTAGTTCTCCTGCCACAGAAGCAGGCGCTGACAGCACAGCTCAGGAATAAAAGAGCAAAGAGCACGTGCTGACAAGTGCCACTCAATATGCTTTGTGCCCTGCATAAAACAGGAAAATTTGCTATACAAGTTTTAATACTCAGGGCTACTTTGGCAAATATGCAATTATTCCCAAGCAAATATGCCATATATCACAATGCTTCCCCATTTCCAGAAGAAAAAAAAAAGAGAGGAAGCCTTATACTGGCTTAGACCAATGGTTCATCCAACTCAACAGAGCATGGGATGGCCTCAGCAGGAACATCCTATGACGTGGCAGTCCTTTATTTCATCATATTTCCTTTTAATTTCCATTCTGCTCCAGAATGTTTCAAGTTTATTTCCCTATGTTATGAAATATCACTTGCTGTTTATAGAATTCTTAGAACCTGACAACCTGAGGCTAAAGAACATCTCTTCTATTACTGCTTTGATATATTTATGGGGTTTTGTTAGCAGTTAGATCATGAGAAACAACCACTGGTTAAGGTCTTCCAATTGTAACCATTCTGAAGTCTCCTATCCTAAAAAGTACTCTTCCTCTAATCTTGTCACTTCCCTTGAACTGTAATCCACCTCTTTTCCTTCCCTTACAGCCAAACTTCTTTGGCTTTATTCTACTGCTTCACCTTCTAGTTACTTATCAAAGCACTGCAATATAACTTCAGTTTCAACCCTCTTTAAACAAAAAATTGCCAATGATTCCTTAGTCACCCAATCCCAAATCCAACAGAGCCATCTTTATAAACCCATTAATCATTTCTCCTCCTCAAAATTCTTTTTTCTCCCTTGAGTCTCAGGGCATAGTCCTTAGATAACTATGTTTCTGGGTTGCACTTTTTCTCTATTTTTGCTCTCATTTTCAATTAAAAATTACTGCCCATATGTAGTCAACCTTTCAATTCCAGATCTCTCGCCCTAACTTATTCCTAAGCCCAGACCCATATTTCCAACAATTTATAAGACATCTTCATCTGGATGTTCATGTAGGCATCTCAAAAACCAATACACCCAAGCTGCTGATGTCACTCACTATGCCACACCACCACTCTGACTCCACCCAAACAGCTTTAGCTTTCTACAGAAAAAGGTCCTCATTAAAAAAACAAAAAACAAAAAACAAACAAACAAAAAAAAAACTATAGGAAAAAAATTTTAAAGGCACATTAAGAAATAAAGAGGAAGCAACGTGAGTCAGTAGAATTACACTCAAGATTCTTAGAATATAGGGGGGCCTGGGTGGCTCAGTCAGTTAAGCATCCAACTTCAGCTCAGGTCATGATCTCACAGTTCGTGGGTTCAAGCCCTGTGTCAGGCTCTGTGTGGACAGCTCAAAGCCTGGAGCCTGCTTTGGATTCTGTGTCTCCCTCTCTCTCTCTGCCCTTCCCCTGCTCATGCTCTCTGTCTCTCAAAAATAAATAAACATTTAAAAAAAAGGATTCTTGGAACACATGTAGATATAAAGTAACCTCATTAGGCTTATTCATTATGAAACAATGCCACTTATTAATTTTAGCAAATTTTCTCCAGGTCCTTGAATGTGGTTAAACAAATGCATTATTTTTACATGTACAACAAGGTAGTTTATACCACTTCTTTAGGATCAAGTTTTATAGTATTGGGACTTTAGAGATAAACTTTTACATTATTGTGGATCTTTTTACCCAATCGTCTTCTTAATTCTCTTAAATCATATCATAACTTACTTCTCTCACTGTATGTCCCACGGATCTTGATGGAGGTCAAATTGTTTAGGAGCTTCTGAAATTCAAAAGGTGTAAGAGGAGGCCTCCAAGGATAATCTGTTGCTTCATGGAGCCTAGAGAGAAAGAAAGATCTATATTAACCTCTATAAGGAAAATTCTGGGTACTGAGAAAGCATCTCTTATTCATTTAAGCCACCAACAATGCAAGGCTCTGACAATCTAACCAAGTCAGAAATGGATCTGTTGGTTTGATAATACAACTGCAAAGATACAGGTAAATAAAGGGAAGGCTTCCTTTTCCAAAATCACCCTTATAACCCAGACGTTTTTCTTCAACATACACCTTAAGGCCCAGTAAGACTGGTAAAGAAACTACTTTTAGAATTCTGGTCAAGTCAGATTTTCCAAAGAAGACGGTCTTACCTGAAGACGTATTTCACAGTGGTCTCACTTGGATAGGAATTGCCCTGAGCGATCAAGGGCACAGACACTCTCAGGCCAGCTCCTTCAAGCACCAGGTCTTCTGCAGACAGGCGAGTGTCTCGCCTGTCCACTCGAAAGGAGAAGGTGAGGTTCTGGCCATAACTCAACAACTGCTTGCCCAGGAACTTCGCTGGAAAGCAGACACAGTGGTGTGTGAGAACGTAACAATGAGAGTAAACAGGGACACACGTGGCGCCAGACTGCTTCCCAGTCTTACTTACCAGGAGCAATGAAGTATCTAGGAAAGTAGCTATCTGAGATGACAGCGACATCCTGCCTCTCTGAGGACCATTCGAGTGATGCTTCAGAGCCATCCCTTTGTTCTACACGCCACCCATCCTCATCTGCAAGCACAGGATGAGAACACAAGTGCCATCACCTCGTAAACATCCTGAACTCAGGTCCTCTATAGACCACAAAATATATAGAAAGTCAGCAATAAACAGTTTGAATACACGGCTCCTATAGCAGTACCTGTATATGCTATACCCCTCAAGCTATATTTTGATTTTTATGTAAATTTATACTACAGTACATTCTAAAGCCATATGTTTTCATTCAATTAAAAAGCCAAACAAAGAGCCAAACAAAACATTATGTACAGTGAAAAACAAAATGTTACCACTATCAAAAAATCCTCAAAATTATTAATTTTTTAAAACTACTTTAAGTCTTGGGGCGCTTGGGTGGCTCAGGTGGTTAAGCGTCTGACTTTGGCTCAGGTCATGATCTCATGGCTCTTGGGTTCAAGCCCTGCGTTGGGCTCTGTGCTGACAGCTCGGAGCCTGGAGCCTGGAGCCTGCTTCGGATTCTGTGTCTCCATTGCTCTCTGCCCCTCCCCTGCTCACGCTCTCTCTCCCTCTCTCAAAAATAAACAAACATTAAAAAAAATTTTTTTTAAACTGCTGTAAGTCTAGTCTCACAATTCTGGGAGACAGAAGGGAAGGTCCAAATTACCGATCTGAAAGGTAGAGGTTATAGAATAAACACTGTAGCCGACAGCATTTGTACAGACAGAAGAATGCCCAAAGCAGAAGCAGGGTGTGCAACCTCTGGGATTAGATGATTCCAGATTAAAAAATCCAGGTTTGCACCTGAAAAACATAAAGATATAACCAGGAATTTGTTGTGCTTGAAATACGGTATCAGAAAAAAAAATACAGCTAGAGAAAGAATGAGCTACCTCTCACAATTGAAGCCTTCAACATTGTCTTTGCAAACACATCTTCCTGTTTCAACATTACATTCATCTATGCTGCCAGAAGGATTACAAGAGCATGGCCTATTGGATGGGAAAAGGAGTAAAACAATGAGAGAAATGAGAAAGAAATTCCACACTCAAAGCCAACTTTTGGTTTTACATGTTAATACATTTTATTTTTTAAAAAAAGGAATACATAAAAAAGTGAAAGAAGTCTTAAAATCAGTTTTATATATGAATTTGGTTTCAATTGAGAATACCTATCACATTTCTATACTAAAAACTCTGCTTAAAAAATAATATAAAAACAGAGAGGGAGACAAACTGTAAGAGACTCTTCAATACAGAGAGTAAACTGAGAATTGCTGGCAGGGTGGTGGGTGGGAGGGATAGGCTAAATGAGTGAGGGACATCAAGGAGGGCACTTGTTGGGATGAGCACTGGGTGTTATATGTAAGTGATGAATCACTAAATTCTATTCCTGAAATCATCATTACACTATATGTTAACTAACTTGGGTTCAAATTAAAAAAAAAAAATTGCACGGGGGTCTACAAAGACAGACCATCCAATTCTCTTTATCTTTAGTTTTTATAGTGTAAATCATCCATTTGTTCTTATATGCTAATAGAATGGTATTCAAGCACACTCTGCAATATCATTTTGTGATTCTCTATTGCTTAGGCAAGGAAAAAGAGATACAAAAAAAATTACATTGCTTTTAAGGTGGCTTAGATGCATGTCTTCTAACATAGAGTTTAGTGTAAAGTGTAATCTGAACAGAATCATGGCGTCATTCTTCCTTTCCAAGAAACTCCTGTTTACAAATCTTTACTAATGTACCAATAGAGACCAAATTGCAGCTTTCCTTTCCATTTCCGTATATTTCCTCTGTTCACCTAACCTTTCAACAACACTTCTGAATTCAACAGAGCATGTAATTATTGCACCATATAGAAACAGTTGGGGGAAACAAAGGGCATAGTGCAAAAGGTATAATTTATGGTGGTAAGCCATCCAGAAGAACATGGAAGGAATGTTCAATTTATTTTAAATATCTTAAAAAAAAAAAAAAAAAAAAAAAAAAAAAAAAAAACTGTTTACGGGCACCTGGGTAGCTCAGTTGGTTATGCATCCAACTCTTGATCTCGGCTCAAGGCATGATCTCATGGTTTGTGAGTTCAAGCCCCAAGCTGGGCTCTGTGCTGACAGTGTGAAGCCTGCTTGGGATTCTCTCTCCCTCTCTCTCTACCCCTCTCCTGCTCGCCTGTGCTCTCCCTCTGTCTCTCAAAATAAATTAAAAAACTTTTTAAATAAAAAAATAAAAACTCTGCCTAATCTCTGTTACAAACCAATCCTGGATCATCATTAGAGCTAGAAGTTTTGAATCCTATTGACAATTATTATAAGGAAAAATGTTTATACACACCACAAGATCTCTTGTTTTGAATCGACTACATTTAGATTCTGCCCCCTTTTCCTGGTTTTGAAAAGTCTTACCTGCATCCTGCCTCAGTGAGAGAATGGTATCCAGGCTGGCAGCGGTCACACTTATCACCCATCACTCCTGGCTTACAGCTACACCTGCCATAGCTATCACACTGTGTGCTGAGAGAACCTAAAATTTAAAGAGCTTATCAACAACCATGTATGAAAGTAAAATTAATATGTCAAATCAAAAAAAAAATGGTAACTAAAAACACTGCCTGAAACCTAATACGTAATCTCTAGATGGTTACGGAGGGAATAAAGATGAAATTTTAAATCCTCATTGTCTCAAAATAATATCCTTTTAAGCCATAACATTTTAACTTTCCAGACACACACCCTGCTCATCAATGTTGAAAAACAAGGCACTCTGCACCCAGCGATAAACTGTACTCAAAACCAGTCCCTTCTCTGTGGGCAAGCACAGGATCCTTAAGGCCCACGTCTAGAACTTAAGTATATACAGGCACAACAAAATAAAGGTCAAACTCTTGAAAGAGTAGAACAGACTAAGAGCACTCTATGTTTCTGAAGATACACCAACATACTGAGAAAGTTCAGCCCTCTAAGGACTGTAAACTAAACAGTCATTAACAAGGAAGAACTCACGAAACAGCTAACCTTTTACAGTCAAAGTTCAAACTGGTTTCTGGGATCGTGTTACTAATTATTTACAAAACCATTACTCAGGCCAACCCCACACTTTTATACACACCAGAAAATCATTTGAAAGCTTAACTTGGTTAAACAGAGTGGAGGTGGGGGGTACAATAATGTACACACTTCCATACCTAACCTGTGCAGATGCTTAGGAAACAAAGATTTTCTGGGGAGACGGGGAGCCCTTATTTTGTGTTTCAATCCATCAGGCCGAAGCTGACTCTGCCTGTCACTTACCCACAGGACTACAGTGACACGGAGAGCAGGCTTCGTTGTTCCCAAGGCGGAAGAAATTCTCCCGGCACCTCTCACATTTGGCACCATCTGTGTTGCCCTGGCAGTTGGTGCAATGGCCACCATGGCCGGTGGACCGGTATAGTTCAGGGTCAAAGTAGCATTCTTGTGATCGGCCATTGCAGTCACAGGCTGTTGGCCAAAACATACGAGTTAAGTCAGATCCATGTTCCTTAGCCAAACAGCATTTTCAAGACTCCAAGAAAACCAAACCATAATTTCCCATATCCCTGTGGCCCAAAGGGTGGTAGGATAAGACCGCCTAATTGATGCATTGTTCATTTAAAAACAAAAAGGAGTATGTCAGTAAAGGGTTTAGATGGCCACATTATCAGTTTACCAAGAAATGGTCTTATCAAAAACAATGCCATTGGGGTGCCTGAGTGGCTCTGCTGGTTAAGCTCCTGACTCTTGATTTTGGCTCAGGTCATGATCCTAGGGTCGTGAGATCAAGCTCCCTGTCAGGCTCCACGCTGAGTGTGGAGCCTGCTTAAGATTCTCTCTCTCCCTCTACCGCTCATGCTCTCACTCTCTCTCAATAAAATAAAATAAAATAAAATTTCTTAAAACAAAACCCCCCGGGGCCACCATAAAATACAAGAAATTCCAGTACTTAGAATCTCTGGGCAATTGTTTAAATGCAAGTAAAAGCCAAGTTGAATTCTAATTTTTCTAAATCCTTATCCTTCATTCAATACCAGCTTCAAAAACAAGGTGCCAATTTATATGTGGGCTTTCATCTACCTCACTTTTCAGCCCTTAGACGATTCAAATACATTAAGACACTAACTTTCGAA